GCGGGGCGGGGCGGGGCGGGGCGGGGCGCGGCGTGGCGCGGCGTCTGTCCCCGCACACTGCCCAGTCAGCACGTGCTGTTTACCAACACAGACACCCCGTGGGCGGGGTGGGGCGTGGTGGGGCGGGGCGCTGCGGGGCGCCCGGAGGAATTTCTGGAGTTTATGGAGAGGCCAATGTGCAAGCCTAGGAGAACTTTGTCAAAAAATAAAAATGCTAATTTCTCTCAATTTTATTTTAACGCGCTGAAAATAGAATTTATTCGCCGTGGTCACGGGAAAGGCCCTCGGTGTCATCGCCAGCTCACTTCTCAATTTCCCATTTTCCTTCTTTCCCATCGCCACGTGCAGGGTGGGACAGTGTGGGAGGTGGAAAGAGAGGCTGCGCGTCATCTAGATTATATGAATACCTCCAGCAAGTTTGATGCCTGTTGCTTAATACATCCTTGAACACTGGCGTTCGGACAAATGGGACGTACAACTTTTGAACAAGCCGCACGCGCCTTGCCCACGGCTAGGCCGTCCGTCGCCGCGCCCGGTCCAAAGTCAGGACACTGCCGTCACAAAGCCCATGGTCGCTGCATGACTAGGGCCCCACGTGGCCATGGTGCCCCATGGTTATTTCAGACGACAACACACTGGAACGTCGGGCGGCTCGCCGCGACAGGGCAAGGCAGGCCTAGACACGGCACGACGCATCACGGCCTGCAGACTGATTCCGAGAGTCGTCTTCGTCGCTCTGTCTCTACCCCACCCATGGGGCGTTCCGTATGGGTGCCAGAGAGACAGAGCGGCCAAAACGCCTCTCAGTGTGCCGGCGCGTCGACCCGGCCGGCCGGAGCCGCGTCATGGTGGCGGCTTTTGCGTCGGACCGCCTCTTGCCCTTCACCGAGTGCAGCTCGGAGTGCAGCGTGGCAGCGCCCGGCAGCGCCAAGCAGCGCCAAGCAGCGCCGACAAACAAAGACGCGTCCATTCAGCAGACGGCCGACCGGCCGGGTGGACGGGTACTCGCCGCCCACTTCGACCGGATTTTTAGAATTTACTGACGAAAAAAGAAAAAACTGAACAAACTTTCAAAAAAAAGGAGAAAAAGGAAAGATAAATTTCTTAAAGGAAAAAAAATAAAATTTACATTAATTTTTCTGATTCCGTCGCCACAAATTTATAAAGTACAGAAGACTTTTAACCAAAAATATCAGCAAAATTCACAAGGTTCAACAAACCTAGCGAAAGTTTTAGACATCCTCACCACACGCACGTCAAGGATGACGTCGGGGCGAACATTGGCTCAAGAAATCAACTTCTCTGGCGCCAGATTCTCCGTGCGGCTGCTGCCAGTTTACAGCGCGACGCACACACCTAACATTGTGGCAATTCCAACTCGAAACTTGAAGGGGGGAGGGGGCGGGGGGTTGAGGAGGCAGCCGTCAACAGGATCAAGTAGGGGGCGTGGAGGAGAAGGAGAGAGAGGGGGGGGATAGTGACGAGTGAGGATAGGGATGGGACGGGGGATGAAAAAGGTGACGTGGATGAAGCAGAGAGAGAGAGGGAGAGAGAGGGAGAGGGAGAGGGAGAGGGAGAGGGAGAGGGAGAGGGAGAGAGAGAGGGAGAGAGAGAGAGAGAGAGAGAGAGAGAGAGAGAGAAATGCTTGCCTCGGAAACGGCTCGCCGAGGCCGGAGGGCGCGGAGGGCGCCTCCCCAAACACGGCGGCCCGTCACGGCGCCATGTGCCCGCAGATGGCTCGCTTGATAAACAATAACCAGGACGCCAGGTTTCCCGGTTCGCCCAGCACCACCCCGCAGACCGACGCCGAACGCCGCTCCGTCTCCCTCGCACCCCCTGCGGTCCGGGCCGCGAGTGCGAGAGAGACCGCGACGCCCCACCCCCAGCTCTTCTTCCGCAAACAGGCAACAAAGCCTCTTCCTCCCCCCACCCCCTCCACCGCCCGTAGGCCCTACGCCTTGACGGAGTGCGGTTGGTTTCACGTTGAGGCAGGGCGCCAATATCTCCACCAGGGGCGGCACAAACAGGTGAGGGGGTGGGGTGCGTAGGGCGGGGCGGGTAGATGGGACCTTCGGGCGAGGAAAGGTTGTGGCGGCGGAAGGGGGGGGGGGGCAGGCGTCCGTTCAAACAAAGACACCATAGGCGTGCGCGCGTTTTCAGCCTTGCAGCCCCACGGGGGCGGTTCGCCCGTATCGGACACGCTAAGAGAAAGGCTGCGCTCAAAATAAGAGAAAGAGACAGGAGCAGCAGTGGTGGTGGCGGCGGTCCGGGACTCCCGGAGGGAAACTTCCATTGCCATTCCCAGTTGGCTGAGCGCGGCGGCGCTAGTGGGGCCTTCAAAAGCCCCGCCTGGCCCTAGCGGCCCTGGCCCCGCAGTGCAGATGACTGTCTGCTCCAAACTGCCCCCGCTACCCTCGGGCCAGGGGCCTTTCTTCTTGACCCGCCCCTACTCCACACTCCGCCTCTCCCTCCCTCCCTCCCTCTCTCTCTCTCTCTCTCTCTCTCTCTCTCTCTCTCTCTCTCTCTCTCTCTCTCTCTCTCTGACCGCCTCGCCGGAGCGTTCTCTCTCTGCTCGTGGTTCAGGCCCTGGCATGTAAGCGCGACCACCGCGGCTGAATGTGGCGGGGCGGGGCATTCAAGGGGTGGTATTGCAGTGTCCAGTCCAGGCCAAACCGGCCCGGCCCACGGCCGTAAAAAAACGGGGAGGGGGCGGGGCGGGGTGGGGCGGGGTGGGGCGGGGTGGGGCGGGGTGGGGCCGGGGTGGGGGTGGGGCGGGGCGGGGCGCGACAAGGCGGGGCGGGACCGGGGCAGGACATTCCCGCTTTGTCGCCTGCACATCCCGTGTGAGACATACGAGCCGGATTGAAAGGAGCTGCAAAAAAGGGGCGATGCGGGCTGAGGGGCAAAGGGGGGCGCAAGTGGAGGAAAGTGGGGAAGAGGCGCGCAAGTGGGGAAGAGCAGGGGAAGTGGGGAAAAGTCAAGGGAAGAGGCGTCAGTGGGGAAGAGAGGCGCAAGTGGGAGAAGAGAGGCGCAAGTGGGAGAAGAGAGGCGCAAGTGGGAGAAGAGAGGCGCAAGTGGGAGAAGAGTGGCGCAAGTGGAGGAAAGTGGTGCAAGTTGGGGGGAGGGCGGAGCAAGTGGAGAAGAATGAAGAGTGGCTCAAAAGGGGAGTGACGAAGAGTGTCGCAAGTGGAGAAACGCGTGGGGTAAGTGGTGCAGAAGAGCTGTGGGAAAGTGGGGAGGGCCTAGGCCAGCGGTTCTCAACCTTTCTCGGCTCGCGACCCCAAATTTGTAGCCAAAAATTTCCGCGACCCCCAGGAAAAGTTTCACGACCCCACGGGACCCCTCCTTTAGCATGCCACTGCGTCTGATCCGAGGCGGGCATTTTGCTCCCTCAACGGGCAATTGGTCTTTGGACTTTTGTTTAGCATGCCTCTGTTACGGAGTGCGATTATCAGTCTTAGTTTGGGGGCAGTATTGTCTCAAAGTTGGCCAAAACGCTCAGAAATGTCTTTGAAAAATCATGTTTTGGGTCGATTTTAAGCAGCCACTGCGTCTGATCCGAGCCGGGCATTTTGCTCCCTCAACGGGCAATTGTTCTTTGGACCTTCCTTTAGCATGCCTCTGTTACGGAATGCGATTATCAGTCTTAGTTTCGGAGCAGTATTGTCTCAAAGTTGACCAAAACGCTCAGAAATGTCTTTGAAAAATCATGTTTTGGGTCGATTTTAAGCAGCCACTGCGTCTGATCCGAGCCGGGCATTTTGCTCCCTCAACGGGCAATTGTTCTTTGGACCTTCCTTTAGCATGCCTCTGTTACGGAATGCGATTATCAGTCTTAGTTTGGGAGCAGTATTGTCTCAAAGTTGACCAAAACAGTCACAACGGTTTTTCAAAGACATTTCTGAGCGTTTCGGCCAACTTTGAGACAATACTGCTCCCAAACTAAGACCGATAATCACACTCCGTAACAAAGGCATGCTAAAGGAAGGTCCAAAGACCAATTGCCCGTTGAAGGAGGACGAAATACCGCCTCGGATCAGACGCAGTGGCTGCTTAAAATCGGCCCAAAACACGATTTTTCAAAGACATTTCTGACCGTTTTGGTAAACTTTGAGACAATACTGCTCCCAAACTAAGACTGATAATCACACTCCGTAACAAAGGCATGCTAAAGGAAGGTTCAAAGACCAATTGCCCGTTGAGGGAGCAAAATGCCCGCCTCGGATCAGACGCAGTAGCTGCTTAAAATCGGCCCAAAACACGACCCCAGCTACCTCGCCGCGACCCCTTAAAATTTTTTCGCGACCCCACTTGGGGTCGCGACCCTAAGGTTGAGAACCACTGGCCTAGGCAACTTTTCCACGGGGTAGGGATGGAAACGGTGGCAGAAGCGCCGCGCTGTCAGTCATCTCATAAACGGCCCGCGTTATACTGCGGGTGTAAGAAAAAAAACAAAAGCAAAACGCTTTCCAGTCCCCGGGCGCAAAAAAAAAAGCAACAACAAAAACTTAACTCGCGGGCGATGCAACATATGAGAGAGGATCGAGCTGCATAAAAAGGGGGTTAGAGGCTCAGGCTCTCCTACACTTTACGACTTACTCAGCCAGGCGAGGCGTTGCTCCAGGCCGGTGGCGCTGGAGGCGCTGGAGGCACGCCCATATAAGTTTCGCTATCTGGCCGCACGCCTCCAGCGCGACCACACCGCACACAAGGAGCTCAGTTCCTTTTAAAGGCAAATCGCTCCGACGCCCCTCATCGACGTGCCTCGCCGGACAACGGGGACCAACGGGGACTTGGCAAGTGGTGGCCGGAGGGGCACAGTGGATTGGCCAGAAGACCGGTGGAGGCGGTCGAAACCTCGGACGCGTTTTGAGCTCCAGAGTCGGTAAACAGGGCTCGAACCGAAGGTGTGACCCCACCAATGGATTGCTCTACGAACGAGGAGTCCATTGGTGGGGTCACACGCCTTTTTAGCACCAACTTTGCAGTGTAGTACTCACAGGGTAGGCGACAACAGCGGCGAGTGCGGCGAGTGGTGGTGGTGGTGGAGGTGCAGGTGGGGGAAGTGGAGGTGGGGGAAGTGGGGCATGTGGGGCATGTGGGGGTGCAGGATCCTCCCCCACTTGACGGGCATGGCGGCAGCCTTGGTGCACCTTGGCGCCTTGGCGGCGGCCGGGCCGGGCGCGGCGCAGCGCGGCGGCGAGTCCCGGTGATCACCACGTCATCCGCGATCAAAACAACAACAATAACGGCCGCGCAGCTGCAACGCGCACTTGATCGGCACCCACGCTTCCGGCCGGCGGTGCACTGCAAGGCACTGCGCGTGCATAAGGCGAGGGGCACATCCAGCGACGACACACTGGGCACTACTCCGGGGCCTTGAGGCCGGCGGGGCAAGGCAGCAACAACAACAACAACAAGGCGGCGGGCTGGCGACGCGACGCACTCGGACGGTTCATAGCGACTGGACTGGCTGGCACACTGTCGGCGGCGGAGCGCGGCGCGCAGTGCAGCGTCGCCCGGCCGGAGGACCCGGCTCGGCTCGGCCCGCGCCGGCCGCTCTGTGCCGAGCTCGGCTGGGCGCCGCTCGGCGCCGCTCGGCTCGTCACGCGTCGCTCAGCGAAACAATATGAATCGGTCGCCGCTGTCGAGTGGACGCCGTGCCATTTCAGACGCGCTACAACGTCAGCGGTGCGATGGCCGCGAGCGTAGGAGCACCGAACTGCGGATCCAGGAACCGAGGTTCGGATGCCGGTGAGGGCAGTCCAGTATCAACAGTTTTCTTTTTAGCAGATGATACCTTTAGTACTTTAAAACGTACGTAAAACGTCCCTCCCTGGGTACAGCGCACAGAATAGCAACAATGCCTCACGGCTCGGCACGGCTCAGCGCGCTGGGGGCACGGCCCGGCGGTGCAAACCACAGCTCGGCTCGCACCAACACTGTCCAGCTCGCTTAGGTCTATGTATTTTTGAAAGTTGACATTCCCCCTCGCGCACTGGAAGAGCTCATTGGTTTGAACTACCCCTTGTCCACGCACACTTCCAACGCCCTCAGTGCGCCGCGGCAAAGCGCGTGTTGACTACGTACCGGTTCAATTTAAATGTGTATTTCTGCCATGCCGGTCGTTGCGCTTCTCAAAGCAACGGCGGCGGTGGCCAGGCCTCAAAGGTTGGACGTCGGCGGGTCCAGCGTCGCGTGGCAGACGCGGATTTTTTTCACCCCCCTCCACCATGACGGCCTTTGCCTTTGACAACCCTTTCCGTGCACGAGGATTGGGGGGGGGGGTGCCCGGCGGCGACAAAACTTCGCCATTTTCCCGAATTTCAGACTTGCGATCCTCTCAGACGGAAGAAGAAACTCCGGTCCTTGCAAGGACAAAAGTCAAAACTGTTTTTCGTTTGTGTTTTTTGGGTTTTTTTGTCGTTTGAATGGAGCTGTTTTCCTCGTGTTTTCAGAGTAACGGCCGCCGAAAATGTGACTTTTGTGGAAGGGTGCGCGCCAGGCCTTCCCTGGGCAGCGTTTCCATGGGAACCTCGGCAACCCGCCGGTCCGCACACGGCACCAGCACAGCGCCAGCACAGCGCCAGCAGCCCTTCGCAAATATAACACTACTTTTCACACATGGCGTGCGCAGCGCAAATACACTTTGTTCGTACACTGCTTCATGACATGCACTCTCTTTCCCTCTCTCCGGCCCCCCTCTCTCTTCCTCTGCCTCTCTCTCTCTCTCCTCTCTCTCTCTCTCTCTCTCTCTCTCTCTGACTCGCCCTCTGCCAAAGAGACCTCGCTGCGTCCCTGTCATATGAACGCACCAGATGGTGGCCGAGCCGCCACTACAAACTGTCACTCGCGAAAGAACTACTGACCCCATCAATACCCCTCGCACGAAATACGGGCTTGAGCACGCCGCAAAAAAAGGTCACTCCAGCAGCTGTATCTTCTCTCTTCGGCACAGTGCAGTTCGAGTCCCTGTCCGAGAGTACGGAAGGGCATCTAAAGAAATGGCCCTGTCAATGCGTCCGGAGTTTGTCCATAACGCAGGGGAGTGGTCGGTCAGGCCGGTGGAAGTACAGTGCATCAGTCGGCAGCGAAACGATCCGGCGATACCCCGTGCCCCGGCGACCCTCACGCCGGCCGTACGGGCGGTCCCTCGCGCGCGGAGTACCGACGACAGGGCCATTTCTTTCTTTTATGACTGATACGCGTCCGCAGCGGCCGGCGGGTCCACAGAGTCCCGGCACACCTCCGCCAAACGCGCGGACGAATAACACGCGCAAATATGCGAAAGGGCGACCGGCGAAATCCGAACAAAAAGCACCACTCCCGCCACAAAGAAACGCTCACGTGCCGCGACACTGAAAAAACAACATGCACGGACACACACTCACACACGCGAGAGGCACTCGCCTACACGCGGCGTAAAAAAGTGTCCACTTTAGGCTGCACACGCTGATGTCTTGCCACTTCGCACTGTCACATGCACTCGGCTTCATAATTCATGAGGCAACGGCGTGAAAATGAAAGAGAGGCTTCGTCGCGGTGGGACGGCATGGCGTGGCGAGGCGAGGCGAGGCGCGGCGTGACGACGCGTAGCACGGCATGAATGGCAAGACGATGTATTGAGAGGACGTCCCCGCCGAAGCCCGTCGGGGAACGGTCAGAGACGCGACGACGCTCGCCGGAACCTTCTTATTCTCGCTCCCCTGCTGACTGATTCCGAGCGGACGGTCATCTCTGTCTCTCTCGGACTCGCGGAGCGTCCCGTTATGAGTGCGAGAGAGTCAGACTGACGAGAGAGAGAGAGAGAGAGAGAGAGAGAGAGAGAGAGAGAGAGAGAGAGAGAGAGAGAGAGAGAGAGAGAGAGAGAGCGATCACCCTCCCCTCTAAGCGAGCTGCCCGTCCACTTTAGGCGAGACTTTGGCAAAACTTATTTGCCAAAACTTTGTTGACGACTAGCCTTTTGCCGGGTCGCGTCAAGACGGCCGGGACAAAAGCCCCGTGGAGTCGTGTCACCGCGTCGTCCGCGCCGGTTGCCGTCCGGGAGCTCTCCGCCGCCATTGTCCACCCGCCCCGCCCCGCCCCGCCCCGCCCCGCCCCGCCCCGCCCCGCCACACCAAGCGTCGCCATTCAAATTTTCCCGCTCACGGCATAACTCGCTGTGTGTTCGAGTGCCGGGCCGGAAGATACCACCACGGTTGCGTCGGCCGCCGAACCAGCAGCCCAATTTCCAAACATCGTTATTGTCGTTCTGTCTCTCTCGCACCGCCGCCCGCCACGGCTCGGCCCTGCGAGTGCGAGAGAGACAGCCTGCCGGAAACGCAAGTCCTCAATTAGCGCAGAAGGCGCCAAGTTTGGCCGTCGCGCTGCTTGTTGTGCTCCGACTTCGATCATCACTGGTCGCGCCAGTCTCTCTGTCTCTCTCGCACCCCCGCACGGGGCGGCGGCCGGGCCGCGGGAGCGAGAGAGACAGAGAGACTCCGCAGTCTGCCAACTTTGAAGAGGCCGCCATCCATCCGCGGCTTATTTACGAGCCGGATGGTGTCGACACCGCGAGCCGCGGGCCTGCACTGCGCTCTGTCTCTCTCTCGCGCGCGCATGGGGCGGCTCGTATCGGTGCGAGAGAGAGAGAGAGACAGAGCAGCTTCTCCGGAATCCGTCCGCTGGCACGCCCGCTGCAGGGCTAGGCCTGGCTGGGCCTGGCTAGGCCTCGAAAGGGGAGGGGAAGTGGCCCTGGAGACCTGGCTAGACGCGCTGGACGCGCTAGGCTCGCGGACACCTTTCGAGCTGTGGAGTCGGAGTCCTCGCAAGGGCATGAAGGCGACAAGGGACTGCCCTTCGAACGTTGAGTCCACTGGTATCGTTTGGTAGCGTTGCTGTTCAAAGACTCGGATGTTTTCGTGTTTTAGGTAGCAGCCCCGGACTCTTCTACAGGTCAAAACCGCGTTTTTAAGTGACGTCCACCTGAACTATGGTCTTCTGACCCACTGCTGGGGAAGGCGGGTTTCTGCCTACTGCACTCTTGCCGCGCTTGTCACGAGGTTGTGGTCTGGCCAACAGTTTCACACAGAGGGCCCGCCCAGCAGGCGGATACTCCGAAGAGGCATTTCGTCGCGCTGTCTCCGTCGCACTCGTGCCGCATCCCGTTGGAGGTGCGAGGGAGACCAGATAGGGCGATGAAAAGAAGCTTCAGAATCACTCGGCAGCAGAGGCTGCCCGCCGTGCCCGCCCTACACGCCATGCCAGCACCTTCACGACAAGACTCTTTGGCGCGCGTATCCCAAAGCATGAGGCATGTATCCTTTGCTGCTCGTGTGTGTGTGTGTGTGTGTGTGTGTGTGCGAGAGAGAGAGAGAGAGAGAGAGAGAGAGAGAGAGAGAGAGAGAGAGAGAGAGAGAGAGAGAGAGAGAGAGAGAGAGAGACCCACGCGCGCTGTCATGTAACGGACGTAACAGAACATATTCTGGTTGCCTATGCTTGGCAGGGGGTCTGCGCCACCACGGCACCCTCCTGGCCCAGTGCCCCTCCCTTTGCGAGGCACAGAGCTCGAAGACCCCCTCGTGCACTACCGTGATGATGAACCGCCGTCTGCGGCTGACCAAACACCAACTCCGCACAGTGGGCCAGCAGACCGGTGGAGGCGGTCAAAATCCTGGACGTGTTTTGAGCTCCAGAGTCGATGAAAAGATCTCGAACCGAACGTGTGACCCCGCCAATGCATTGCATTCCGAACGAGGAACCCGTTGGTGGGGTCACACGTTCGGTTCGAGTCCTGTTCAGCGACTCTGGAGCTCAAAACGCGTCTAATGTTTTGGCCACCTGCGCCGGTCTTCGGGTCCACTGTGCGGCGCGCAGGAGAGAACCCTTTGTTTCGTGTTTTGATTCCGAAATGTTTTGTTTTGGGCTTGGAAGCAGTTCGGCCTGATGCAGAGTACACTGGAAGCGCATGCACTGCATAGGCAGGCCCGGCCGGCCTGGCTGCCGTCCCTCACTGTCGGTGCCCATCAGGCCAATCATCGGCCGCCCATTGTCTCTGCATGCAGGCCGCCTGTTTTCGATACTCGGAATCCTGCTTCGTTCGGTCCCTTATTTCAAAACAAAAATATTACCAAAGCTCAGAATGTTTCCTTGCTTTGTT